AACTATATTATAATATTCATCCAGTATAACATGCTGGAAGATAAACATACACAAGACAGACTTCCAGTATAATATACTGAACAAAATTTTACTAAATTTAATAAACAAAAAACATAATCAAAACCCACATAGTAGACGTCTACTATTCGCACACAGCAGATGTCCCGTAAAATATAATGGAATGAAACAAAACTCAACTATATTATAATATTCATCCAGTATAACATGCTGGAAGATAAACATACACAAGACAGACTTCCAGTATAATATACTGAACAAAATTTTACTAAATTTAATAAACAAAAAACATAATCAAAACCCACACAGTAGACGTCTACTATTCGCACACAGCAGATGTCCCGTAAAATATAATGGAATGAAACAAAACTCAACTATATCAAAATTTGACAAGAACTGAAGAAATCTAAAATACAGATGAAACAAGAAAATACTTGAAAATTAAACCTAATATATAGAGACTAGAAAAAATTTGAAAAAGAAATTACTAGAATGACAAAATTACCAGAAATAAGACAAACTAATGAACAGAGAAAAATCGTAAAAGTTAAAATAGAACAAATATTTAAACCCTAACGGTACTGAAATCAACAATAATAACGAAAATTAAACCTAAACAACCAACAATAATAACGAAAATTCAAACACATTATCGTAAAAAACAAAACTCACCCATAATTTTGAAGAAAATTGGACATAACCCAGACAAGATCCGAAGAAAAGTGCTTTCTCAGGAAAGCTAAATCCGTACAATTCTATAAAACAAAGAGAAAGGCGATAAAAAGTTACTAAACAGTATGTTAAAAATGTCAAGGGCAATTATGTCATTTTACCATACATTTTAAGTTAAAATGGCTAGAAATCGATTACATTTAGATTGGTGGCTATTTTTCAATAGCCAACCGAAAAACTGGCTACGCCATACAATTTTGACCTTCTAATGGTATCTGGAAAATTTCACTCCCATCATCATCAAGCCGCCCAATAGAAGTTTGAAACTGTATTTGTGTCACTTTTCCTTTATTTGTACTTCTTTTTTTCCAAATTGACATCTTCTTGTAGAGTTGCAGACGTTTGTTAAGCTCTTGACTAAGATGGTATATTGTTCGAGAGACTTAAACTTGAATGAAGAAAGGTCTAGCGCTCGCTACATAAATTAAGCCAATGGTTCACAAGAGGGAGAAAGAAAAACAAAGATAGAAGCTGTTGGGAAAAGTAATAACCCCGCCCAGGAATAATATTAACGGCAAATAATAATAACACAAAAGAGTAACAGTGACACCAACTCTTTTAATAGGGTAAAATACAATACCCGAGCAGCGCAATATTACCACTATAATATTACAACTCAATAGTGACAAGAGACTACTACGATTTTGAAAGAAATAACACTCTTCACTTCTAGGCCTAGGTGGTATGACATGAGCCCTACGGCTGTCATCTCAAACTCACGGGACATATCTTTCTTAAAAGATTCAAACAAACTTGGGTTATTACCCGTGAAAATAAGATCATCAACATAAAGACAAACAAGCAAGATATCTCCATTAGTATGAACTTTAAGATAAAGAGAATATTCATGGAGACAACAAGTAAGCCCATTGTCTTGAAAATACTTATCGATACAACTATTTCATGCTCGTGGGGCTTGCTTCAATCCATATAAAGCTTTATTCAACTACAGCATTTTATCTTCGTGGTTTTTGACCATGAAGCCCAATAGGTGTTCAACATAGACTTCTTCTTCAAGATAGCCTTTCAAGAAGGCTGACTTGACATCTACTTGATGGATCTTCCACTTCATTTGCGCCGTCAAAGAGATCAGGAAACGAATCGTCTCCATGCGGGAAACAGGTGTCGCACCCCATTTTTCTCGCGAAAGCAGGTTTCGACATTGACAACTCTTTTAAAGGAAGGGTTAAAAGAGAAGAGTCGCCACCTAACGATTTTTTAAGGTGCTTTAGGGCACCTTTTTTGCAAATAACTCTGTTTCAACTAGTCAACGTCACCAAAGATCGGGTAAGACCTCAAAGAGAAGGTGTTAGGCACTCTTCGAGGTCCACAACTGTGGGTCCCGACCGAACTTGAATTATATGGATTAGTTAAATAAATGGAGAGAGAGAGAGAGCACAAAGTTTGGGAATTTTATTATAAAAGATTTTTGAATAGATGAGTACATAGACTTAATTCAAATAGAGGAGAAATAAGATTGGGGGGGGGGGGGGGTTCCTAATTTTTTAGCCTAAAGGATCACCCCGTGCAACATAAATAATACTTCTTAACTCCCTCGGGATGGGGTGTTACTCATATTACTCAGCGGGCACAGACTATCATCTCCTGCTACGCGATTACTATGTTAAAGTTGTTACCTAAAAGCGTTCTAATTCAATTATAGGTTGTTCTCTATGGGTGCACTACCCGTCCCATACCTATGGTCCATGAGGTATTGGACCTCTTATTTGGGTGGTTCTAGACCTTACTTAGGCTGCTTAGAAATGTCAAAACTAGGCGACATACAAAAACACATTGGACTTCACATATAGGCAGTTAAGGCTCAAATTCGCCTCCACACTTAAGCAACAAATGCACACAAGACAAATTATGTATTAAGCAGTTCAAAATTAATAACTCAAATCCTATAGACATGATTTCTATGTGATAAAGCATCAAGACATACAAGCAGTTTCAGAGGCTGGGCGTTGCTCATAGATAGGGTTATATACGCTGATTATTGAGATTATAGGTTTCCAGTTATTAAACCTGTTATGTCTAGATGACTCGTGCGGTAAGGGGTAATGAAAAACTATTGAGAGGAGCCCAGAATTATTTACACATCGACAATGGCCTAATTGCACAGTAAACCATATTGAGAGATGCAGCATTGACCCTTATTAAGACGAACAGTGGTATCCTATAGCCAGGATCTCTAATGATTAGCACTTGGAGTTGATTTTATTATTATACTTAACCCTATAGACATGTTTCTAGGTGAACAGTGTGATGCAGTAACAAATGAGATGGTTGCAGTCCTATAAGCTTGGTTTCTAGTGGACAGTAAGAGATAATAGCAAAAGAGGTGATCAAAATCCTATAAGCATGATATCTAACGAACATGCTAAAGCGAATTGAAGGAAAGTTCAGTGACATCTGTTCCTATGGGAAGGTTTTCTAATAACAGGTAGCAGCCAGAATAATTGAAGCATTTGAGCCCATGCTTTGCTAGTAGACAAGTAGTGTGAGTGTGTGTTTTTCCTAATGGCATGATTTCTACAGTGTGCATAGAGAGTGAATGACACATATAGTAAACATATTACAAAGTCCTATAGGCATGTTATCTACCCGTTGCATGTAGGTACTAAATTCTACCCATTTCCTTTTACTAACAACCCCAATTGTTCATACAAGGATTGTTACATGCCCAATAATGAGTAAAGTAGCAATATTACATAACAATGAACATGTCTATAGTAGGCCCAAATAAAATACCTAAATATCCAGGCCTTCAACAAAGCCACGTTCAATACACTACCCAAAGGTTCATAGAAGAGTCCAAACCAGTTTACTTAACCACAACATCAAGTGTTGCACCACTCGGAACAACCAATACAGGCACACGGTACATGACAGAGAAGTAGGATAATAGGAACAGTTCTGGAGATTGAGGGAGTGACTAGGACCAAGCCCTAGTGTGTCAGAGTTCATAAGGGCCTCAATTGGACCCCGAGCAGTGCTCACACTAGGGAGGCCAACAATAGAACCTAGATAGCCTTGGCTTTCAGCCGGCTAAGAATGAGAATTCAGAATAGCAAAGTATCAAGCAAGGAGAGTGGATAGTGATAGAGAAATAGGAATCAAGTAATACACCAAATTGAACATACAGGGCTGTAGACATGTAATTTTTGATCCTCCCCAAGATTTTACATATTTTAGCATTTAAATACTTAGTTTAGGTCTAATATAGTTATTTCAACTAATTTTGACTCTTTTACTTTATTTCGTCACAAAATAAAAATTACAAAAAAATATTTTCTTTTATTTAGCTAATGGATATTTTTATTATGTACCTTTCAAATAATTAAAAAAATACAAAAATAGTACCTTATTTTTTTATCTTTATATAATCTTGAAAATACAAAAAAAAAAGTTTCATGTTTTAATATAGTTTAGCTTAATTAATTAGAATTATTTTTTGCATTGTGTAATATTTTTATATTTTATTAAAGGAGGTGTTGGACCACAATTTTAAGAGCCTTAGAGCCCAATTTTAGGACCCAATTCGAACTTAGCCCATAAATTCAAGCCCAATACCCAATACCCATTAAGCTAACCCTAGAGACTCTTCTAGATTTTTCTTCTTAAAAAATAAAATAAAATAAAAACCTAGACAAAAAGACCTATCATCCGCCGTTACACCAAAAGACCCCCCCCCCCCCCNCCAAAAGACCCCCCCTCCCCATTCTGTCTTCTTCTCTAAAGAAAGGAGCCATTTCCATGGCTTTTGCTTAACAAAAAACAGACTCTTAAGATCAGCCGTGACCCTAGTTCATCTTCTTCGTGGAATCAAAAACAAGAAAACCCTAGGACCCTTCAACCAAACAGCCGCAGAACCCAAGAGACCTAATCAGCTGCTAACCTAGCACATAAGAACGCCTAAGTCTAAAAAGTCAGGAGCTAAAACCTAAAGCTACAGCTACCTGGACCTAAGACCAAAGGAGATCCGCCGCTGTTCCTGTCCAAACGACCCTCACCTCGCCGGAAATCCATCCCTTCAACGACCAACTACCTTTTTCTTCCCAAGCAGTGACCAGCGACAACCAACAAGCAGTTGCTACTGCTTCTTTAACTCACTCACGACCGCCACAATAACCAGAACGCAACCTTCTCTCTCATTTTTCTGTCGCTCCTCCGTCGCCGGCGAGGTTCCAGTGCCGTCGAGGTCGCGTTCGAGTTCCGTCGTGGATCCCAGTCGAATTTGTTGTAGGTCCTTCAAAGGAGGTTCTTCTTATTTAATCTAAAGATTTGTTATTAAAAGTCATCTTATTCCTTATTCAATATTGTTACATGTTTGTTTTGTTCTGATGTTTAAGTATTTCAAGCTAGATTCGTTTCTGTGTTCTTTATTACTCCAAATTTGTTTATTGATATTTTGGTAGTCTCAGAAGTGGGAATTTTGGTTTGGTGGGACAATTTCGAGTCGAGAAAGATCATTGTAGTAAAATGAAAATGATAGAAGCACTGCTTCTCTATTCTGTGGTGTAGTGTTCCAGATTTTAAAAAATGGATAAAAGAAGAGGATACATAAAACTAGTGCACAAAAGGAGTACATTGTTAATTATGTTGTTTCCATAGATAATCATGTTTTAGTTGAGGGATGATCGGAAACCCCTGAGTTAGCACATATAGTGCAATAGCTTGCTCGTTCCCTTCAACACAAGCAACCTCTATGTATTTTCTCTGTCCTAACCTCAATTCTTATAAGAAAATAAATAATTGATGAATATTCGTGGCTTGCTTTAGGCGTGACTTAATATATCATCGTGATTGTGTACACGTTCGCGTGACATAATTACGATTCTTTTAAAAATAAATTGAGGTATGCGTTCGCGCAACTTCAACCAAACTTTCTTAATGATAATAAAGCGTTATTAATTATGGACACGTTCGCGTGACATGATTTTTTGACGCGTCAAAACAAATGGGTACACGTGCATGTGACCTGTTTAAAGATAATTTCTTAATTAAAAGAGGCAAATGCACATAGGTTCTAAAATAAGTAAGTGGACAATTTGATTAAGCCAAGTATGATCAAAGCGATCGTGCTAAAACTACGGAACTCGGGAATGCCTAATACCTTCTCCCGGGTTAACAGAATTCCTTACCCGAATTTATGTGTTCGTAGACCATAGATAAGAGTGGGCTTCCTCGATTCGGGATTTTAAACCTGTGACTTGGGAGACCGTAAATTATCCCAGGTGGAGACTCTGATTTTTATATAAATAATCCCGTATCGATTGTCACTTAAATTGGAAAAACTCCCTTATACGCCCTCTCGGGGTAGTAAAAAGGAGGTGTGACAGCTCTGGCGACTCTGCTGGGGAGTAGAACCCAGAACTTCTGGTTCAGGGTTCAAGAATTTGAGCTTGTTAATGTGATTTTTACTTGGCTTTATTTATTGTTGATATTACTGTATTTTGTGAACCTAATGTGCTAATGGCTGTTTATTTACCATTTCAATATTGCTTGAATTTTATTATAATGCCTTCTTATGCCACCCTTCTAAGTCTTCTAAAATATGGTGCACACGTACGCGTGACCCACTTTCTGTTAGAAGTCATACCAATTAGAACGGGGCTTGGGTCAGCAACAAGGCCGGGTAGACTTTTGTGCTCCCGGTACGTTGCCCCCGCCCCGGCTCGAGCTGTCCGCTCGGGTAAGCCAGGTCTAGAACACAACCCCAGGTTTAAAACCTAGAATAACATGACCTCATGCCGACTCCCTAGTAGGCACGTTTGTTTGCATCATGTGCATTTGACTTAGGGGACTCAACACAGGGGTTGGGTCCGTCTAGGACAGGTGTACCCAAAAATAAAAGACCATCCTGATGCATCCTATGTGCTACATGTTGCATTTCTTCAAGGGTAAAAGGGTTATTTGGCAGACCAATGATGGTTGAGGATAAATGAGAAAAAAAGAGAGGGTGAAGTGTGAAAATAAAAGAAGTAGGGCCCAGTTATGTTTTTCTTTCACATTTGTTTGAGAAAAAGACCAAAAAAAAAATAAAAATTGAAAAATCCAAAAAGATTTTGCAATTTCCCATCATTTTCCAAAAAAAAAAAAAATCAAAAAGAAAAAGAAAAAGAAAATCCAAAAAGAGTTTGCATGTTTCATCATTTTTCAAAAAAGACAAAAAATATATTTTCTCCAAATTAGTTATTTTTTTTGTTTCTCGCCTGTATCCAATCTGCCCGAACTACGCATACCTGATTCTCGTCTTTCGGTGCGGGATACGTAGGCAGCCCACATGGGGTCCGGTCTTCCTAGTTAGTCTTAGGTTCTTGGCTTCGCGGGGTCTTAGCCAAATCTTGCACTTCTAGTCACCTTTTGGCCACATTAAGCCATTTTGCAAAAATAGCCTCAATCATATCTAGCATGTGTCCGTTGTGAAGTTTTATTGTCTCACATAGTGTTTTAAGTCTTTATGTGGTCTTAATTTTCTCATACAGGTGCGGATCTACTTACCGGAGTTTGAGCATGACAGACACCCCGGACCATCCGGTCAGGATCGCTCATTCAGGAGTTTGCTTAAGGAGATTTTTATTTTTATTTTTATGTTTTGAATCTGTTTTTCTTTTTATGTCGTCTTTTACCTTCTAGTTTTGTACAGTAATGTCGAATATTTTAGGCGATGTTAAGTTTGTCGAGTTTTTTTCGTTTTTGTTATTGTATTTCCTATTTTGTATTTGAAAAAATATGTTATAAATAAAAAATAACAAAAAAAAAAGAGATTTTGCATTTATATATTTCCGTTAGAAGTTTTCTTTAGAATACTAATCCTAGAAATTAAAAAAAATCATTTGAGGTGGTTTTCCTTAGGAAATTAATATCTAGAACTCAAAATAAAAATTGCTTTTATATTTCTTTTAGCATATTGATACTAAAAATTCGAACAAAAAAATGAATTTTCTTTTGATACTTCTTTAGAAGTTTTCTTTCAGATATCAATTCCAAAAAATCCAAAAAGATTTTCTTTTGAGGTTCTTCTTTGGGAGATTAATGAAAAACAGAAAAAATATTCTTTTTATTTTCACTAGAACTTTAGGACATTATGTATAGAAGAGAAAAAAAAACATACTTTATTTTTTGTTTATCTTTAGTGTTTTTCCCTTAGGTAATCAAAAACTGAAATCCAAAAATACTTTTTTTATCTTTTTCATTTCTCGTTGCGAAGTCTTTCTCTAGGATATCAAATGAAAATTCAAAATATTTTTCTTTGATTTGTTTTTTAGATTTACTTCCTAAAAAAATCAAATAATATTTTTCTCTTCTATGGTTTTTTTCCTTAATAATTTCTCATAGAGTATCTGTTTCAAAAAGAAAAGATATATGCTCGTTTAAGCTTGAGTTTAGAATAGGTTATAGAATATTAAGTCTAGAAAATTCAAAAAGAAAAAAAAGATTTGCTTCTTTTATTTCTCTTTTCTCATCATAATAGTCATTAAATTAAAAAAAAAAGAGAGCGTTAGTTTGCTCAGTCTATTCTCGATCTTCCAGAACTACGCTCGATCTGATTCATGAGGGACATGATACGTAGGCAACCTACATAGGGTTCGATCGCATCATCATTAAATAAAAAGCAAAAAAAATAAAAGAAGAAGAAAAAAGAGAAAAAAAGAGAATGAAGTTGTGGGACAAGAGAAATGAGAGGAAATAAAAGAGCGATAAGCAAAAAGAAAAGAAGGAGGAAAGAAAATGAAACAAATCAAGGAGTGTTAAAGAAAAAAAAATGAAGTGGAAATGGAGCAAAAAGAGTGAAATTGGGATGATGTCATATGACCTTCATACCCTCAAAGTCATTTTAGAACTGATAACTGTGACTAGGTGCATTGCACGTAAAGTGTGATTATCCTATGGTAAATGCCCTAACGCTAAAATGATGACTTCATTCTGTTCCTCTTTGTTATCTTCATTATAGCAGAAGGGTGGTTGGTTTGTGGTTCTTAAAGTGGTAACTCTTCTCTACAACATAAAGTCGAAAGGCGATGGCAGATGACAACAGAATTGAGTTGGCTGATACTGGTTCCGGAAAGCAATTGGTTGAACAGGACAATGGGTTGATTGAAGAGGTAAGGATGTCAAGACAACACATGGCGGACATGTATCGGTATTGGATGACTGGGAAGGCACCCCCCCGCCACCACCTAGCTTCCTTGATGCTACCCTTACCCAAACTCCGGTCATGGTGCCAGATGATCCACCAGACTCTCCAGATTCTCCCGCTTATCACAGTTTTCCCAGCCACCCTAGTAGCTCCATCACTCGTCCTCCAACTACCTTTCCAAAAAATTGCCTTCCCGTCATATCCACTATCCCCATGATTACAACTTCTCAACAATCTTCCCTTCTTAGATCAAAAGAGAGAGATTATAGATCTCTCCTTTAATGAATTCTTGTCATCCTATTAACTTCCCAAACATCTGCCCGTTTACACAATTCCGGGGCCTTAGGTGATCTCAAAACTATTTCCTCAAATGTCCCTATCAATTTCAAAATTGTTTCATTGCTTCATGATTAAACTAATTTTAAGACAGGCCCTTAGAACATATACGTGCCATGTCATGTACTAGAGCTAGCATGAAAAGAACTATAAAAGGACAAGAGAACTAAGCAAAAACTAACTAGAAAAAACAGAAAAAACAGGAAATTGCATTAGAAAGACGGTGAAAGGGTTTGACAACAAACAAAGCAAACTTTATACACTAACGGTTGCAACCGTTGAAAACCTAAATAACACTAACAGGGGTATACGACTAGATGAACTAAGCAAAATAAAAGGATTGAAGGGTTTGAGGTCACAAGACAATATCCGGATTACACCCTGAATATAAACCCGGACGAACAGAAATGACAAACAAAATAAACTCACCAAGACTCCTCCCGGCTAGCCAAGAGATGGAGCGTCTTTCCAATTACCAAGCACGGCAATCTTAAGCCAACTGGGTTCCACATTAATATTATCAAGACCATTAACCCAACTTCAATTGATTAACCTTCAGTCGGCAGTTCCCTGAGAGGATCGACATATCCCGTCACTGCCCTTGATCAGAATTATCCCTTTTTGAAATCATTTCTTATTTCCCTTCTCAAAAGCACGACAATCTTTCAATGGCTATGACCCTTGACATTAGAGTGGTAACCATGCACCGTAAGTAGGATCAAAAACTTTGCCATACCGGGTCCGGAGAGTCCGAGGAGCGGCTCAATTCAGGCAGCATGTATTTAACTTTTCAACCAGGGCTTGTGTACGGATCTCCGATTGGCGTGAAACTATTTTTTGGCTTTGTTCCCCTCTAATGACCCCTGTTTTCTAGGTTTATTATCGGGTGCTCGAAATGTTGTTAAAGGCGAACGAGTATTTTAGCGGTACTGGGGCTCCGCCATGAGGAGTGACGCCAGTGGTTGGACAGAATGATCGTACGTTGTCGGCAGGATAATTCTGAGGTGGATTCTGTGGAGCTAGGGGGGGGATATTCACTGGGGTCGGTCATTGAGCGCTGAAAGCATTTAGCATGAATGCCCAGTGGAACGTGTCCGTTGCGGGGCTCAGCAACATCTTTTTCTATCATTGGAGACCTACCCGAAAAAGGCAAAAAACCCCCTTTTGGCGGGGGGTTTTTTCGTTCCATCTGAGCCAAAACCTTCCTAAAACTCCCTCGGGTTTCTTTTTTCCATCTGAGATAGGGAGATTGGTCTAGGATAATGTCTATATTGGTACTCGATGGGCGACAAATCTTGAACATGTCAATCCATGTATGCCATTTACCGACATTCCTTGAAAGAGTATGCCATTCCAAGGCTGCCCCCCAGTCAGAGCTCCTTACTGAGATACGCATCAGAGCTCATCGTTTCCCGCCAAACACTTCTCATTTTGCTGCATACCCTCAGATGGGGCCTACTGGACTCTCCCACGCCCATCATACAAGTGAAACTTGGATTTTAAACCCGCGGGCAGAATGAAATCAGGGAACATACAGCAAGTCATTGCATGGCATGCCTAATCTGATTCCCCATCCCTTCCGCTCTTTAAGGATGTTCTAATACGCCTTTCAGCTTCTGGATATCTCTCTCGCCATTCTTTTCCTGTGAAAACTTTTCATTTTCAACATGAGCGCTCATTCGAGGGCTATGATTGTATGAGTTAGGGACCTTAGTGGGGCAACCTCTGAGGGGTATATTGGGGCAATCATAAGTTTTTGCAGTGGTGTTCATTGTTGCGATCTGTGAGAAAGAACAGGAGAAAATATTATTGATTAATTATTGACAAATGATACAAATGAGCCCTATATATATAAATACATGTCCTACTCCTAATAACTCATGGGATTAGGGTATTTACTACTATTTAACTATCAACACTAACCACTCCCCTCACAGCTGGTGCCTAGAAATATATTACGAGCTTGTTACATATATAACTAAATTACGAGGCCAGTGAGGACTTTGATGAACCATATCATCAAGCTGATCATTCGACTTCACAAATTTTGTAGCAATATCTCCCGAGAGTATCTTTTCTCATAACAAAGTCGACAGTCAATCTCGATGTGTTTATAGTTTCTCAATGGAACAACTGGATTTGACCGCCAATATGAAGAGCAGCTTTGATTTAATCACACATAAGTCCCATTGAACTAATCCTCACCAAATTTTCAACTCCTTGAGCAACTGTTTGATCCAAATTAGCTCACACTGGCCATAGCCATTGCTCGGATATTCTGTTCTGCACTAGACCCGCGCAAACATACTTCCCCTTTCTTGCTCTTCAAAACACAAATTTCCTCCTACTAAGCACACAATATCCAGACGTAAGAACGTCTATCAGAGGTGATCTTTCCCAATCAGCATTCTGAGTATCCAAACGATCTGCTCATGGCCTCGATCCCAAACATAAGCCTTTGCCTGAGCTGATTTTAATATAACCGAGAATGCGGACAACTGCATCCCATAACTATCACAGGGAGAATCCCATAAACTCGACTACAACACTGCCACAGGAAAGGAAATTCAGGTCTAGTCACTATGAGGTAATGTAGATTTAACCCAACCAACCAAACGCGCTATGATCTTCAGGACGCTAAGAGGCTCCCCCTGTCCTGGCAGAAGTTTAGAATTCGCGGATCATCAGAGTGTCAACAGGTCACAACCTGTATCCTGTCTCTCAAGAATATCTAAGGCATACCTTCGTTTGAGATCAACAATACCTGAGCTAGACTGGAGTACCTCATACGCCAGTAAAATACTTTAAATCTGCCCAAACCTTAGTCTGAAAGTGGCTTGAAAGAATGTTGGCTTCGAACTTACTAATACCATCCGATCAATTGCCGAATAACAAATCATCAACGATAACCGCAGATAAATACACAGATTTGAAGCAGAAGTCGATAAATATAGAGTGATCAGCTTTAGCTAAGAGTCATGCCAAATTCCTGATAACTGTGCGAACTTACCAAACCAGGTCGAGGAGACTGGCTTAAGACCATAGAGGGACCGGCGCAACCGCCATACAAGGCCACAGACTCCCCTGAGAAAAAACCCGTGCTTGCCCATATAAACCTCATCCTCAAGTCACCGTGAAGAAAAGCATTCTTAATGTCCAATCTGATAGAGAGGCCAAATGGCGAACAGACGCCATAGGATAGAAAAA